TGGTACTGCATTTACTTAAGAGCCAGCAGACTGCTTGTTATTCTCCAATTTGTTAATCTCAATGCCATCCCCAAGGTGCTGCCCCTTAAAATCTGATTCACATTTTGGGATTCACTGGGAATTGGGTGGCATAATTTTAATAAATTGTGATGATGCTGATTTATCTGTTGTTCTAAGTTTTTCTGATACCACTTCCCCCCAAAAAACCCACTGATTTGCAGGCATTCCCTTCTTTTACCTGGATTGCATGGAAAAGGTAATCCTTCTGTTAAATGAAGCCCCAAAGAATATTTCTCTCCCGCTCAGCTCCTGCCCAGTAGTCCAAACACTGATTAGGACATTAGTTATGTCAATCTTGAAGGGTTTGTTCTCTAAGCTATTATAGAAAAGAGTGCTCAGTGCTTTGAGAGACTTATTAGAAAAGGGCCTAAGAGATGCATTTGAAACATACATTGTTGTTGTATGCACAGTTACCTGGGATAAAGTCCTATTAAACTTGAGAGGTGTGTGACTATGTTCTGTGACTATGTACCACTTGAGTAAATATTAATGGCATCAGACTACAGACAGTATCAGAGGAAGTAGAAGTGCTTCATCTTGGGAGCTGTGAAGGCAAGGTTAAAGATATCTTTCTGCAAAGGACTCCCTGTATTTTAATTTGTAATATGTGAGAATTATAGCACAATTCTATGCATATCTATTCAGGAGTGACTTAGAAAAAGTTCAGTGGGACTTTCTCCTTGGATGTGGCTATGGTAGCCTTTCCCAAGTTAGCCATTTTCCAAAAGGACTGCAAAAACTGGATGATTACTAGATGGCATAAAGGAACATATTAATCTCTGCTTTGCCACTGGGTAATTGTCTCTATTTTTGCACCTGAGAAACAGTAGCCTTCTCTGAGGATCAATAATGAGAATTCTGGGAATTGAATTGAAATATCTAGAGCAGGGGTCTTCAAACTTGACAGCTTTAAGACTTGTGGACTTCAAACTCCCAGAATTCCTTTTCCAGTCATGTTAGCTCAGGAATTCTGGGAGTTGAAGTCCACAAGTCTTACACTTGCCAAGTTTGAAGACCCTTAATCTAGAGAGTGGCCAACTTGGGGATGGCTGGTGCCCAACAGTGCAAACCTACTGTTAAACCTCACTATTCGAAAGTGGAGCCATTGGCCATTACAGGTGAGCAAAGTTAGTATTTCATACATGGATTTAAGTCTCATAGAATCCAGTGCAGTTGACTTCAGATTAGACAAATGTATTATTGCTTTGATAGCATTCTATTTTACAAGCTGACTGCAAAACCAAGCCCTACAGAACTTCCCCAAGCATTTTGCAGATTGACTAGATTAACCAAAAGAATGTAAGATTTCTTGTGAGGATTATTTTTGTTCTGAGTCTTTTCACAGTTCGTGTTTTCATCTCACTTTTCTTCCATCTAGCAAATACTTTTTAGCAAAACCCCTTTCATGTTTACTCTACTGAGAAACAATTTCTGCCAACTAATAAACCCATGAGCAGAGATTTAAAAAATGATACTTTTTCTACCTCAAGAGAGTGGTATACAATGATCTGCACAATCACTAGTTGGAAGCAGTTGTGTTTTTTGTATTTCTTTGTTGCATCAAAGCCAAAGCATAAAACAACTGAAAGATACCATACAAGAACAGAAAATGTGAAGAAAGCTGGCCCATAAAATTGCCGAGAATTGGACACGAGTGAACGGATAGCATCGTGATCATCAATAGCACATCTGGTCCAGTCGTTATATTGGAGGATGTCAGGGTTGAGGAAAACTGCCATATGCATCTTCCTAGAAGCATTGAATTTAGTGATAACCTCCGAATGGACAAGCATAGAAGTGTGCTAAAAAAAACTATCTCTGCCATGCTGAAGTTGTCTGGAGTTTTGCAGCCCAAATATGATAGGTCAATAAAATGAATTAAAGGTTGCTCCTTTAGATAACAGGGTGGGATACAAAACGAACACAGAAAACAGGTGAAGCCTCTTTTATTCCTTCACTTTCCTTCCAAGCTCTGAATATTCTTGACAGAAGCCAAAAAACTCCCACACAAACAGTTACAAGAAGAAGGGGAAAAGCAACACAAACCAGGCAAGATAAGGACTGGAACGTCCACAGATAACACACACTGGGGAGGATGCCAAACTCAGAGAGGAATCATAAACTAGAGATATTTCCACACTTTGTTTCCAGCATTTGCCGGTACGCATGTCCGTCCTCTTATTCAGTTGTCACAGCTGCATCCCATGAAGAGGATCAAGGCTCTCTCTTCCTGAGTAGACCATGCGTGACCTAGGATGGATAGGGGATGGGCCTGGGTCCTCCTCTGACTGCTCAGCCGGCCTCTGCCCTTCCCCAGCCTCCTCCACAAGCTCAGGAGCCACACTTCCACTCCCTGTCGGCTGTTCCTCCTCTCCCTCAGAATCAGTCTCCACCAGGAGCATGACACAGGCCTTTCCTTATATGTGTGGTTTAACACCTCACCAAATACAGAAGCCCTCAACTTATGATCACAATTGAGCCCAACATTTCTGTTGCTAAGTGAGATATTTGTTAAGTGAGTTTTGTCCCATTTTATGACCCTTTTTGCCACAGTTGTTAAGTGAATCACTGCACTTGTGATATTAGTAACGTGGTTGTGAAGTGAATCTGGCTTCCCCGCTGACTTTGCTTGTCAGGTTGCAAAAGATGATCCCATAACCCCACGACACTGCAACAGTCATAAATAGGAGACAGTTGCCAAGCATCTGAATTTTGATCACATGATCAGGGGGATGCTGTAATGGTTGTAAGTGTGAAAAACAGTCATAAGTCACTTTTTTCAGTGATGTCGTAACTTCGAACAGTCACTACATGGATTGTTGTAAATCGAGGACTACCTGTAATGGCAGTGTTGGTTTTAAAAATGCAGTGACAAATTGGGTGGCTGGATAGAGGATTCAAAATGTTCATGCTATAGAATCTATTAATTAAAAAAAATCCCCAGACAACCTGACCAAAAGGCAAAGCCTTAGTGACAGAAAATCGGTTGCATTTGCACAACTCCTCCCACCCCCAATTCTTATGGAACCCCCTCACCCAATTCTCCCAGATCCCACTTTTGGGGGGGGGAAAGTTGAGAAAGTCCAGAAATATTTCACAAGAAGAGTTCTCCACTCCTCTACTCGTTGCAGAATACCTTATGCCACCAGACTTGAAATTCTAGACCTAGAAAACCTAGAACTATGCCGCCTCCGATCTGATCTAAATATAGTATATAAAATTATGCGACTTCAGCAACAGAGTGGTCAATGTCTGGAATACTCTACCTGACTCTGTGGTTTCTTGCCCAAACTTTTTTTCTTTTTCTTTCTTTCTTTCTTCTTTCTTTTTTTTTCTTTCTTTCTTTCTTTCTTTCTTTCTTTCTTTCTTTCTTTCTTTCTTTCTTTCTTTCTTTCTTTCTTTCTTTTGATTTGTCAATCGCTTACATAATATAATAGGTATAAGTATATACATAGTTATGAATACATGAAATGGGTACATATAAGAAAAATAAAAGAAACAATAGGACAGGGATGGTAGGCACGTTGGTGTCCTTATGCATGCCCCCTAACCTTAGACTGTCTACTATAATTTAACCTTATAATTTAATTTAACCTTAGACTGTCTACTATTGACCTCACCCCTTTCCTAAGAGGTCTGTAGGTGGCGTGCATAAATGCACCAACGTGTCTACTGTCCCTGTCCTATTCTTTTTATTTTTCTTATATGTATCCATTTCATGTATTCATAACTATGTTTATACTTATACCTGTTATCTTATAATCGCTTGACTAGATAGATAGATAGATAGATAGATAGATAGATAGATAGATAGATAG